AAGAAAATGGTTCTCTCCACTCACCTCTCCTTGATCTTGAAGTTGATACCCAGTCTTTGATGAAGCTTCTCCTCACTTAGCTATGGCTTCCCTCTTCTTCAAGCCCTTCTCCTCCTTCTCTCTCACTCCCTCCCAGATTGCCACAAGCTCCTATTACTATGACTATGGAGTCCTTCCCTCTAGGAGGGCTAATGAGACTCCCTTTAGTCCCTCTCTCCTCCTCACACCCTGGGGGCTATGGCGGATCACCTCCCTAGTGCCAACCTCCCTACCACCAGCCTCTTAAAGCTCCTCTCCTAGCTCCTAGCCTCCTCTAAGCTCCCATACTGGCATGGGTTCCCCTCTCCTCACTCCAAGTGAGTGTGGTGCTCTCATGGGCACATTTGGGCAGCATGGGCACTCCTCATGCTTTAATGGGAGTATGCCGGAATGGACTCCCAGCTTATGTAGGCTGAAACCAGCAGTCTGGCTAGCCCATGGGCCTCCCCATGTGCCTCATGGTGAACCGAGGTACCCCCATGGCCAATTTTCACCACTAGGCCTCTCCGGAGGCACCTAGGCCTCATTTTGGTCGGGTCCATGCAGTCCGAGTGGTTGGTACCAACTCGAACTGCCCCTTAGGCCTCTTTTCAGCCTCATGCCACTTGGAAAATGTTGCCCCCTTGAGTCCAAGGCCCAAAGGACAACCTACTTGAGAGAAAAAGACCTTGTAGGCCATTTTCTCGACTTTTTTTCGATTCCGGCCTCCCTTGGGTAGGCCGGAGCATTTTTCCATATGGCGGTACATTTTCAGCCTTGGATCAGGCTGAGATCCAAGACCAACATTATTCCGAGCTACCCCATGGTGGTCCTTGCTTCAAATTTAAGCCCCTAAGTTCATTTTCTCAATTTTTGGTGCATCTGGCTCTCTTTTTGGGCCAAATGCACAGTTTTGTCTTTTTCCCTCTTTTGTTTCTTTCCGTTTTGGGTTGCCACCTCATTCCGGAGCTAGCCGTTTTGAGCTGGCCCACAAAAAACGGTTGTTTTCTCTCCACCATGAGATCTGATCTTAGATCCATGGTCAAAAAGAAAACCGGTCATTTCTCCCTTGCATATCTCAACAATTTGGACTGCCCTTCGTCCTTCTAGGAGGGATGAGGTCATCATTGGGACCTGCCAGTCCCTACTGCAGCAGTCCCAATGGGCCGGCACGTTCTCCTCCACCCTTTTCTCCCGTTTTGTCTCATTCTCCCTCCATTTTTTCCCCTTTTTCTTTTCTTTTTCTTTTATTTTTGTTGTGACAAGTGTCAAACAGCTGTGCACTCTTTTTCTAGACCTTGGAACCTCATTCATGGCCAGGTTCATGGCCGACTGTTAGCCGTTACATCCCGGACTTCAGAAATGGCCCTCCCATGCTCCTAAGGGGCTCCATTTTACCACTGTTTGTCCGAATTTGAGCCCCTTTTGCTNTTAGCCGTTACATCCCGGACTTCAGAAATGGCCCTCCCATGCTCCTAAGGGGCTCCATTTTACCACTGTTTGTCCGAATTTGAGCCCCTTTTGCTCCGATTTTCCATGGTCAGCCTTTTTCTCATGTTGGGCCTTTTGAAGCTGTATTTTCACATGCCTTGCTAGTCCGAAATATCTCGGACTGCTGGGCAGTCCTTTTAGCTCCCGTTTTCTCTTTTATTTTTCTTGATAGTCCTCCCGTTTGGGCTCCACTAGTACTTGCACTAGTGGTGCTAATATTTTTCACCGTCAAGATCTTCGATCTTGGCGGCGCTGTTGGCCTCGCGCAACCACTCCCCTCATCAGCTTGTGGTTGTTTCCTTGGGACACCTCAATTCCCTGCCACTTTTCCCGTATTAGTCCCATTTTTTTTTTTTTTTTTTTTTTTTGCCCCGCCGGCTGTGCCGCCGGCGCGCGTCTCATTTTTCGACTTTTATTATTTGGACCCACTTGGTCCCCGACAACATTCCGGACGGCGTCCCATTTTTATTTGAGACTCCCCTTGTCCCTGACAGTCCCAATATCTCTTCCGTGAGTGCCACATGTGTGTCGATTATTTTTGGCCATGAGATCTCATCTCACGGTTGCCACTTGCCGTCTTTATTTGCCCCATGCCGAAATTACCTTTTTCTAGCCTTTTGGGTTTGCTGTGGCTCAATTTCCCTTAGCCTAGGCATCCTCATGCAGTCCATTATTTCTTGGACAATAATCATGGCCATTTTCCTAGTCCCACAGCCCCACAATGTGCCCCATGCCAAAGGAAAATGAAGCGTTCAATTTTCGGGTGTATCCGGGCTCGATATTGGCTCCGGACGAACCTAAAACATGTGTTTGGCCCTCCCCATGCAGTCTGTTGCAACTCGGACTGCAATAGGGGCCATTTTCCTTGCCCCACTACCCCACAATTAGCCCCAAACCGAAAGAAAAGAAAACGGTCAATTCCCAAGTGCATCCGGTCTCTATTTTGACTCCCGGTGCACCTAAAACATGTGTTTGGCCTACCTCATGCAATCCGTTGTATCTCGGTTGCATGAGGGTTTGATTTTTCTTGATTTTCTCTGCAAATTCAAGAGAAAATCAAGATACTTTGTAACCGACATATGTCAGAATGAATCTGGTCACTATTGCTCCCCCCAAGTGACCGTTTTTTGCTGTTAGTACCCTTTTGACTTTTTCTTTTATTTTCTCTTTTCTTTTCCTTTTCTTTTCTTTTTCCTCCACTTGTGGACAGTAGGACTTGCCAGTCCCTACCTGTTGCAGTCCCTACTGACGGCCAACTCACTCATCCTCTCTCACTTCCCATTTTCTTTTTCTTTTTCTTTTCCTTTTTCTTTTTCTTCTCCCATTTGCATGCCAAGTGTCAACTAGCCGTTAAGGCCCTTTTCTAGGATCGTCCTCTTAGTTTTGACCCTTCCCATGCCCAAGGGTCAATCCGTTATTTCTCGGACTGCACTTGTGGCCTTCCCATGCCCATGAGAGTCTCCGTTTTCCTCTATCCCTCCCAAGAGGTAGACCCTTATGTTCCGATTTTCTCCCGGAGGCCTATTTTTTTCATGGAGTCCCTCTTGATTCCATTTTCTTGGGGGAGGCCAGTCCGAGATTTTTCGGATTGGTCCTTTGCCTCCCATCTCATATGTCTTTGCTTTTTCTTTTCCTTTTGGCCTTCCCGCTTGCTCCCACTACTGCTTATGCTAGTGGTACTAATATTCTCGGCCGTCAAGATGTCGATCTTGACGGCGCACCTTGCCTTTATTATTTTCCCTCACGCGGTGCCGCCGTTTCTTCTTGGGACTTTCACATGTCCCCGCCATCCGTCCTGTCGGCGGTCCCCGACACTTAGTCCCACCGGCGGTCCCCAGCACTTGGTCCCGTCTGCGGTCCCCGGCACAATTTGCCTCGGATGCCATTATTTTTACTTAGTCCCACGTGACCCCGGGTGCCTTTCCCCGAGGTGTCCCACGTCCCTTGGGCGCTTTGCCGCCCCACGACGACCCCTCTTCCTTGTCTTTCTTGCACCTTTTGCACGCGCTGGTCCTTTGGTCACGGGGCCTCCAACCCGAGGCTCCCGTGGGAGGCCCCCATGTTAGGTCCTTATTCTCTAGGCTCCCTACGGCCTCCGGAGCCGTTCGTCTCTCGACTTCCTCATTCTCTTGTCGCTACTGTACCGCGTTTGCTGGTTCAAGGGTCCTTTGGCCTTAGTCTTGTTCAGTTCCAATGACCCTTCCGGCCTCATGCTATGTTCTATGTGCCCCTACTCTTGCACTTATTCTCTTGTCGTCGTTGGTTTTCTCCTCCTGTGGTCCTCACCCCAGGGCATCACTCCCTTCTGTGGCCTAATCCTTTGCCTTTCCTCTCTCCTGCCTCCTCACTCGTGATTCCTCTGTCGTGCACAATTCGTCTATATTCAGTATGTGAAGTTATTCGGGACCCACCAGTCCCAACACCGGACCTTATACTGTTTCTATGCACGACCTCTACCTCCTGTTCTGAATACATCTTCACCCGCAATGTCATATCTTCCGTCCATGTCTAGAGGGATCATGGACTGTCTAGATGGAAACTCTGAACTCGTGACACACGGCAACAACTCTGATGTGTGAAACACGGGTTAGGTGTGGAGGTGCGCTAGTATCTCTATTGTGTAGGACGACCCATCCTCTCCACCCTTTACCTCTAGAACTGGCCACGGTCCTCTGTACGAGGCCAGTAACTTCTGCGAGATGTTCTCCTTAGGTGCAAACTCTTTAGACTTGACCCAGACCAGGTCGCCTACCTGAAACTGCGATGGGTGACAGTGCTTATTATCCTGTTCTATCATCCGGTGTTGGGCCTTCCTAAGGTTTTGAACAACAGTTGCTAGCTCTTTCTCGTGCTGTATTGCAAACTCTCTGGTACCGGGTGGTAGCCTGTGAATATGATCCCGGATAAGTCCTTCAAACGGTCTGCGGGGTCTAAAGGACTTGTGTAACTCGTTGGGAGTGCAACAGGTAGACAAATGCACGCTGTTATTGTATGCGCTGGCTACCTTGGGCAACATCTCGTCCCAATTGACTTGATCGGGTATAATATACATGCGCAGAACTTGCTGCATGATCTTGTTCATCTGTTCTGTCTGACGGTTAGTCTGTGGATGACGGCCAGATGACATCAACAACTTTGACCCATAGACTCTCAGTAGTTCCTGCCAGTTCTGACTCGTGAATCTGGTGTCTCTATCACTAACTATAGACAGCGAAACCCCGTGATGACTAATCCAGTGATAAAAAAACTTCTAAATGACTAACTCCATACGTGCCTCTGCCGGCAAAGGAACAAAAACTGCATATTTACTGAATCTATCAACTATGATCATGACTTGGCTCTTGCCGTGTCTACTCTTGACACCGGCATCCATGAAGTCAATGGAGACTGAATCTCCAGTTGGTCTGGGATGGGCAAGGGTCAGAGAAGACCTAGAGGGGCACGCGTAGTGGTCTTGTTCCTCTGGCAAACTTTGCATCTGCGAACATACTCTATGCAGTCAGCTTTCATTCCTGGCCAAGTATATGCACGCATCAGATTGGCTGAAGTCTCCTAGGATTAGGCTACGCATCTCCTCACTGTTGGGAATGCACAGGCGGTCTACGACATTAGTCTTCTCAAACAGTAGTCCCTCAGTAGTGCGGTGGTCTGGTTCGGTCTCTGGGGCCTCCTTAACTCTCTTGAGGAGGTCACTATAGATAGGGTCCTGCGCATACGCATGTCAAACTTTTTCTTGCAGGTCCTTCCCTATATCTAGATAGTGTACTATAGCTCCAAAGTAGTCGGATCTCCTACTTAGAGCATCCGCAACTACATTGTACTTGCCTTTGACCGGTTTGAACTCAAAGTCATACTGGTCTATCTCAACGGCCCACCTAGTCAATTTAGGTGTCATTTTGGCCTGGGTCTTTAACCATCTAAGAGTTTCATGGTCAGATTACACTTTGAAGTGCCTCCCAACCAGGTAATGCTTCCAGTGCTCTAAAGCCTGCCTGAGAGCGTAAAGTTCCCTCTCGTATGTTGAGGTAACAACCTTCTCCGAGGGCATCCTCGCTGACATAAACTCTACGGGTCTATAACCATTGTCGTCGTCTTGCCGCAACACGACGCCTATACCATATTGACTTGCGTCCGTGGTGATGACAAATGGCAAAGACGGATCTTCCACTTTGAGGACATGGTACTCTATTAACGCGCGCTTTAACCTCTTAAGCGCAGATGTCCAATCTTTGTCCCATTGCCAGATTGCCTCTTTCTTAAGCAACCTGCGCCAGGGAGCGGCGATAGTAAAGAAGTTCCTTACGAACTTTCTATAGTAGTTAGCTAGGCCTAAGAACGACCGCAACTCTGTCAACGTGCAGGGCGTCGGCCAGTCTCGAATTGCCGCTATCTTGCTGTCCTCTGGCTTAATGCCATCTCCGTCTAACACGTGGCCCAAGTACAGTACATGTGTCTTGACCCACTCGCACTTCTTCGCGTTAATCTTGAAGTTAGCTTCTCCCAGCTTCTCCAAGACTTGCCTCAAATGACCCTGATGTTCTTGGAGGGTCCTACTGAACACTAGGATGTCGTCTAAATAAACTAAGACGAATCTATCTAACCAAGGTCTAAACAGAGCATTCATGCAACGCTGAAATGTAGTTGGCGCATTGGTTAGTCCAAAGGGCATCACTATGAACTCATAATGCCCATATCTAGTCCGGAACGCAGTCTTGTACTGGTCATCAGGGTGGACCTCTATCTGATGATAACCGGACTTCAAATCTATCTTTGACAAATACTTGCAACCCTGCACCCGATCTAAGAGATCGTCTATCCTGGGCAGTGGTTCAACATTCTTCACTGTGATGGCATTCAAACCCCTATAGTCTATGCACATACGCAACTCTCCTTCCTTCTTGGGGACAAACAAAACTGGTGCTCGAAAAGGAGATGAACTGGGCCTGATCCAACCTTTCTCAAGGAATTAGTCTAACTGCTTGCGCAACTCCTCTAACTCTCTAGGGGACATTCTGTAGACTGTTCCCTTAGGAGTTCTACTCCCAGGCTCTATGTCTATCCTGCGCTGGATCGGCCGCGACACTACTCCTGTCGGCGGCTCAAATAAGTCTTTGAACTCTTCCAGTAGCTTGGCTATGGCGGGATCTGTGGAACTCACCTCTTCCTTAGCCTTAGGGACAGGTCTCACATACACTACGAAGACCAAATCCTCTAACTGCTCCTTTTTCACCAATCGCGCGAACATGGGAACACTGAGACAGCAATGTGCCAGCGAGTTGTCTACTCCTGACACATGGAACAGACGGGTTGTTTTAACCTCGCCTGACAGACTAGGGAGCCTACATTCGTGCTCTCTCAAGTGGAGTGTGGCCCCTGCTGCCTCTCCCCAATCCATTCCTAAAACTATATCGAAAGGAAGATTATCCTGTACGAGGAGAGTCGGGGAATGGAGAACTTTCTCCACCTTCCTATCTTTCTCTAGGCGAAAGTACGCCTGGACTCCCTTTACCTAGTCCTCAACTCGCATTGTGCGGTTGTCTGCGCGGACACTGACCATGGGGTCTGTCAACTTTTGGACTTTCAATCCTAGCCTTAGCTTTTTCAACGCTCCTCGGCTACTGTAACTACGGGTAGCCCCTGAATCTATAAGGGCCCCTACTCTACTCCTGAAAACTTCTACATCAACTAAGATTAGTTGTCCCTTACTCTCCTTCTTCATTTTGGCCCAGACAGGCATTCTCTCCTTCAACTCTTCTGCCACGCCTGTGAGGGAAGTGCCTAGAGAGACGCTAACACAAGCAGTTTCTGGAGAGCTAGTTAGGCACTGGCCTGCAGCCTTTGCCATAGGCTCATGTGGTTTGGGAGTTTCCTGTACGCGCGCGCTCGCTTCCCCACACGGCCTTGAAGTAGGGGCAGTTGCGACCCCTACTGGCGGCTGCCTTTTGACTGCTGGGCAGCTCATCGGGTCTGTCTATACTTAGGAGAAAATTTAATTACACGGGCCGGGTCACCATAAAACACGCACTGACCCAAGTCCACGCGTTCCTGCCATATGAGCTGGTCCAAGCCCAAATCTTCCCAGGACCTGCCGTGTGGCAAGCCTGGGTGCCATCCTCCTTGAGATGGCCTTCCACCTCGTCGTTGCGGGGACCGACAAGGACCCTGACAATTTGGCGGAGGACCTTGACCCCTACCTCCCACTTGGCGGTTCCCTTGTCCACCAACCCCCTGTGCGCCTGGTCCTCGGCCTCCCATGGCCTGACCTCTTTGGCCCTGGCCTCCTCCTCGACCTTGCGGTCTCCCTCCAACCGCGACAGCAGCATAGGACCTCCCCTGCCCCACGGTATTGTCCTCATCCTCGAGGCCCCACTCGATCTGACTATATGAGACCTCGTCTATACCACCTTCCTTTAAAGTAAGGATCATGTGATCCTTGGCCCTAACTTGGCCAGAGATGGTACGACCTTTCCACTTCTTCCCCTTATCCAAGTCCTTATGCCAGAAAGTGGAAACTGGCATGGACTTCGACTCAAACAGGACCACCTCTCTACTCAGCACATCATATATGATGTCGGTCTGTTGAGACTTATCAAAGAAATGTCCTCTCAAGGGCTCTGGCATGACACGATAAAATAACTGGACCAACTGGGGCTCAGTGACCCCATGGTTTGGGACGGCTACCAAGTCGTCCATGACACCTTTGAGTGCTCGTGCACTCCTCCACTGTCGTGAGTGGATGGTCTATAATTTGTCAGAGGCCCTCACGCCTCTTGTTGGGTCAGCAAATCTCTCCCTCAGAAGTTTGAAGAATTGAGGAAGTGGGGTGATCTTAGAATATGCAACCAGGTTGTTTTCACAACCGGCTGCGCGCAAGGGATCTGGCAAAACTGGCCGCTTCATCTTTGAGGGCCTGGAAGGCGACGAGGACTTGTTCCTCAGTCAAGATGTGCTGTAAGTATACGTAACTATTGACGCTCGCCTCCCAGTTATCAAAATTCTCTTCCTTCTTCCCGCCGTATGCATCTGGGAATTTAAGCTTGACGGGCTCTTTGTGAGGCCTGGCCTCACTCTCGACAGCGGCTACTGCTTTGACACTCTCAATGGCACCCTCACAAAACTTTCCCACGTTTTCTCTCAACCACCTAACTTCGCCGCCAACGTGGGTGACTGTGTCGAGCGCAAAATCCTGGAATCCTAACCGCATGACACTCAGGGCCACATCGTGACCCCAGTTGGCTTGGCGCTCCTCCATCCAAGCCTCACTCAACACTTCCAAGTACCCCAACATCTTATCCATTTTGGCAGAAAGGTTTGCCTGCGCCTGCACCTCTCGTCTGCAGTCTCTCACCTTTGCCACCTCCGCGGTCAACCTATTAACTTCCTCCCTCCTTCTCTTCTTTTCCCTCTTCATCCTCAGTTTCCACTCCAACTTTTTCTCCTCCTCTGCTTCTTGCCGTTCCAGGGGGTCCTCGATTATTGCTAGCGCACTGGCTGACGCGTCCCTCTCATCCTGTGGCACATACATTTGTGCCTCCTCGTCTTCCCCCAACCATAAATTAGCAATCCACTCACTAATCTTCTTCTCTAATTTCGCTTCCTCCTCCTTCGTGCCATTGCTCTCCCCTTTTTCTTCTCTGCGTTTTCTCTCCTCCTCTGCTTTTGCTGCTGCTTCTTCCTCGACAACCTTTTTCTTCTCTCCATCTCTTCTTCCAACTTCTTCATCTTCGCCGCCTGCTCCTCTGCGATTGCTTTTAATTTCGCTTGCTTTAGAAGCTCTTTCCTCTCCCTATTCTCTCTCACTAAGGCGGCCATCTTCTCTTGTTGCTCCTCGGTATAGGGGCTAGTACTCGTCCCACTACGGGTCTCAACCATGGTGATAAGTACACAACCGGATTGACGGTTCCAAACCTCACCACGTAGACTCTAACCCCTGACTGACAAACCTACTGACTCAACCTAAAGACTCACAGAATCCGGACAGGGATCCTGCCAACTAGGGTCTGTAGCCTAGACCTACACTATGGCTGTCACTACTAGACCTGTTGCTGATCAGGAGACGTTTAAGGAGATCCCCTGTAACTCCTCAGGAATTATTTAACGTCGCAGACAGGACGACGCGATCAGCAGGTCTCTCAACACTTAGACTGCCTGTTGTGCAGCCCACAACTCAACCTTTCGGGCCTACCGTGCCACACCGAGCAGCCCGCCGGTCTGTACCGGTCCTTGGGAGGGTCAGGCCTTCGGGACAGTCGAGTCGTCAGACACAGTCTTTAGCCCTACTTAGTCCGGCAGGGGTTTGGTCAACAAGGCCTATCCTTCATCCACAGAGTACTATCACCTGGACAGAAGAGACTCGATGCAGAAAGAAGAGACAGACAGACTGGACTCAGCAAGTACCACAGGGTGTGTGCACATCCATAGGGCGAGGGATAGGTTGAAGGCTTGGCGAGATTATACCGGCTCCAACTTGGTCAAACTCGTGATCAACGGCTTGGTCAACGCCGGTCAATGCTGCGGTAAACCCCCGGTCAACCCTCGGTCAACTCCGGTCAACGCCGATCAACACCTTCGGTCAACTCCTGGTCAACCCCAGTCAACGTCCGGTCAACGCTTGGTCAACTCTCCCGGTCAACTCCCCCGGTTGGCTATGGCTGCCGGCTTCGCTGTCCCTCACCAACCTTCTTCTTCCCTTCACCTTCCTCGCCTCCTTTCACCCCGACAGTCTCCTTCCTTTTTTTTTTTTTTTTTTTTTTTTTTTTTCGTCTTTCTCTTCGGCTCCTCGGCTATGGCTTCTCTCTACCTTCTCAGTCTCTCCCTCTGTCCGCTCTCTCTCCCTCCTTCGTCACTCCGTCGTCAAGCTCCGCGGCTACGGCCGCCTCCTTCTTCTTCATGGGACTGCACTTCACAGGTACGTAACAGCCAAACTTGCACTGCTCATCTCTCTCTCTCTCTCTCTCTCTCTCTCTCTCTCTCTCTCTCGCGCGCGCGCCGTAGCGATATCTCCAGCGCAGCAGGTACGTAGTAACCCAATCTTGTGTCACTCAACCTTTCCCTCTCCTCTCTCTCTCTCTCTCTCTCTCTCTCTCTCTCTCTCTCTCTCTCTCTCTCTCTCTCTCTCTCTCT